GGGGAGGGATGGGGGGGCACGGTGGCACAGGGGGCAGGCGAGGGGGGAGGCGGTAGGTCTGCAGTGCCGCAGTGACTGGGGGCTATTGGGGGCCAACACCACAGTGGGGAGGGTTGGGGGTCACAGTGCAGGGGTCTGGCTGGGGACCGTGATGGTGGGGTCGGGGGGGAAGGGGGCTGCAGCCCTGGCAGGCTGCGTAAGGATGGGGAAAGGTGGGCAGATTTTTTTTTTGGGGGGGTTGTCACAGTGGTGGTGGTGGCGCCAGGGGTCAGGGTGGTGCCATGCAGGTGTGGCTGCAGGTGGGGTGTCCCTGGGCTGGCCAAGGTGGGGGGGTTGTGTCGTGCTTCTCAGAGGGGGTGCCCTGCAGTGCTGCCCTGTCCTGCAGCAGGAATACGGGGGGCTGAGGGGGGTGGTGGTCCCTGTGCCAGCGGGGGGGAAGCTGTTCCAGGCACATGTCTCTCCTGGGGGGAACCATGCAGGGCAGAGACCCCCACCCAGGAGGGGTCAGCAGGGGAGGGACTGGCAGGAACCCTGGGTTACCCCCTGCTGCCCTGCATCACCAGAGCCCCTCTGCCCTCCACCCCAATGCTACCCCAAACCCCCCCCGTGATGTGCCCACCCCCCTCCACGCCATGTGCTTGAGACGGGGGCCGAGCCCTCATGTGGGGGGGCGAGCGGAGGGGAAAGGGTTTTGGGGGGGGCACTCCGATGCCAGTGCTGAGGCAGCTCCGGGGGGCAAACAGCATGGCTGGCGCTGGCAGCGGGGTGGGGGGGAGGCGGGGGCCTGTGCCCACCGCACCCCGTGCCCCGGTCCCTCTCCATGCGGACGGTGGGGAGGGGGGTGACAGGGGGGTGCCTCCCCCCCCCATTCCCGAGCTGGCCTAGCAGGCGAAGTCCTCGAAGACGCCCTGGTGAGGGTAGTGGTGGCGGTGGTGGTGGTTGGGCAGGATGCCCGCATTGTAGGCGCCCTCCACGTGCCGGCCCAGTGTCTCACAGGGACTCTGTGGAGATGGCAGTCAGCAGGGGTGGGCACAGACCCTCTGCACCCCCTTTCCACCCTCAGCCCCCTGCCCAGCACAGCCCATCCCCAGGAGCTCCATTGGGGGCCACCCAGCTCCCTGCCACCCAGCCTGAGGGCACCAAATGTGGAGCCGTGCTGTCCCTTGCTCATGGGATGATGCCCCTTTCCCCAGGACAGACGTGGATGCTGCCCAGGCAGTTCCCCCTGCCCTCTCTCCTCCCCGAGAGGTACCTGGTCCTTGAGCTCCTCCAGTCCCAGCGTGGCGATGCTGCCCGAGGGCTTCTTCAGGGGTGGTTTGGAGCGGCGCAGGACCCGGCTCACCCTGTCCCGGATCACCTGGGTACAGATGGGGGGTCAGCCCCAGACCCGCATGCAGGCAGCACCCCCTGTGTGGACACCCCGACCTACACACTGCTCCCCTGCCCACCCTGGGGACATGGTGGGGACAGCACCTCTGTCCACCACCCACCCTGTTCTTCAGGCCGATGAGGGATGCTGGGGGACCTGTCCTCCTCTCCCAGCCTCCTGCTGGCAGTTGCCCCATTTGGGGGCTGTAACAGCCCTCTGGGGTTGCGACACACACTCGCCCACCCCCTGACACACATCAGGGAGCCCAGCCCCAGCTCTGCACCTCGCCTGCCTGCAATGGCTCTGCTCCCACCACCCAGCCACAGCCCCGAGGGCTCAGCGAACCTCATAGACGTAGTCCAGGATCTCCAAGATGGTGAGGATGCTGGCACCGATGAATAGGCCCATCTGTCCCCCGATATCCCCTGGGGAGGAAGAGGAAGAGAAAGAGATGGTCACCAGGAGCTACTGTGCAGCCCCCATGGAACCCAGGGTGGGCCAGTGGGGCTGTGGGCAATGCCAGAGCTGCTGGACGGAGGGGAACGGAGCAGCCACAGGGTCAGGGGCAGCAGGATGGAGGGAGCAGGGGACATGAAGGATAGGGGACGGCCAGCAGCATGCCACCCTTCAGCCAGTCTGCAGCCAGCTCCTGCCCTGTGTGGTCCCTCCCTGATCAGCCCCACATCCTCCCAGGGCTGGGACACAGAGCTCCGCTCATCAAGGTCCCACAGGAAGGTGGGGAGAGTCACCGAGAAGTCCAGCAAGGTCGTAGGCTTTCTTCTGCTCAATGGCCTCGTAGTTGAGCGCTTCAAAGAAGATGTCCAGCACCAGGAAGTTCTCCCTGTGGGAACACTACAGTGCTTGGCAAGGAGGGATGGTCACCAACCCTCCCACCTCCACTGACCCCCAAACCTCGCCACCCGGTCCCCCAGCTCCCCAGCTTCCAGGTGCTCCCAGGGCCCTGGTGAGTTATTCAGGCCAGTGTGGTGGGGCCAAGGAAGGGGCATGTCCCCGGTTGGGAGGGACTTGGGGTGGGGAGGTGTTGGCAGGAGGGCTGGGAGGACACATGAGTTGGGGAGATGATTCTCTAGTGGCAGCCACCCCTGGGCAGGGGATGCTGCAGGGACCATGTGTGCCAGGATCTACTTCCCACATGCTGCCAGGAGTGGGAGGGGGGGGTCCCCAGGCCCCCCGCCCCCTGTCCACCCCGCTGGCCCCCCCCAGGGCTGGCAACTCACCGAATGTAGGTCTCGTTCTTGTTGTACTTGCGGGCGAGGTAGCGCGCTGAGCCCTTGTTGGGGATGCGCACCATGGAGATCTCCTTGCCGTAGCGCGTCAGGTTGCACGGCGTGGGGCAGCTGCAGCGCTCCTGGCTGTCCTCCACCGCCGCGTCTGGGGGGCACGCACCCGTTGGCATGGCTGCACCCCTCCCGCCCCCTCCCCGGGGGCACCCAGCGAGCCCCCAGCCATCCGCCCTCCACTGCACCTACCCAGCGTGTGGTCAGCACACTCGATGTACACGTTGGGGGAGCAGATGGACTCGTTGCCTGAGGAGAAGCAGCTGGTTGGGAGGGTGGGAGTCTGTCCCGCTTCTGCCCCCCACCCTCGACTCACTCCCCTAAAGGCAGTGGGGCAGCAGTGGCCCCTGAGTGCGGATGGGATGGGGACAGTGGCCCTTGGGTGCACGTTGGCTGGGACAGGGGTGGCTTCGGGGTACAAAGCAGACAGGGAAGGGGCTGATCTGCGGTGCAAGGAGGGTAGGACAGGGGCTGACCCAGTGTGCAGAGAGGACAGGGTGGTCCTTGGGTGCAGAGGGATGGGGCAGGGGGGACACTTGGGTGCAGAGGGATGGGACAAGGGCTGCCTCGGGATGCAGAGGGATGGGGCAGGGGGGCAACCTTGGGTGCAGAGGGATGGACAGACAGGTACCCTTGGGTGCAGAGGGATGGGGCAGGGACGATCTCAGGGTACAGGCTGTAGGGGGCCAGGGCAGCCCCGGGCAGGACCAGCAGTGCAGCGGGGTGCCCACATGCTGTCGCACACCCCCCTCACCTGGCATGTGGACCATGCGGCAGTGGCAGCTCCGCACCACGGCCTCCTTCTCGCACTGCAGGCGGCAGGCAGCGATGCTGTAGGTGTCGTAGCCGGGCAGCGTCTGCTCCCCCTGCACGCTGGCCCGGCAGTTCCCCCATGGCTGTGGCAGGTAGGTGAGCTGCCAGGGAGAGAGGGACATTGCTGCAGGGCCAACCCCAGGCTGGGTGCCCGCGGGCACCTCCCTGGGGGCTGTGGGGCATCCTGCCTTACCCGCTGCTCCTGGCAGGACACGAAGGTCTGGAAGCCGGGCGAGACACCGAAGCCCAGCTGATGGATGTAGGGCGGCTCGTCCTGGCTGTGGATCTGGACCCGGATGCCAGCTTCGAATGACGTCTCGTCTGCGGGAGAAGGACAGCGGGGCTGCATGCCTGCCCACGGGGACAGCCCTCAGCCTTGCCCCAACACCCACTCAGGACCTGCACCCTGGGGCCCAGCACCCCTCCAGTGCCACACTTGCCCCATAAGTGCCCCCCCAGGGTGCCCTGCTTGCCCAGCAGCCCCCACTCCCAGCACCCCTCACCCGTCCCCCACTCACTGGTCTCTCTCCAGATGGGCAGGTACTCTTCCTGCTGGATGTCCAGCATGATCTCCAGCCCATTGCCCATGCCACCCTGGCGGGTCACCCGCGGGTTCCTCCGGTCCCCGTTGAAGGTGTAGCACTTACCGTAGCGTGTGTAGACCTGGGGATGGAGAAAGGGGGGTTGAGGGAACAAGCAGGCATCTGGCAGGGCGTTCTGCAAGCAGGATGAGATCTCTTTCCAATCTCATGGAGGTGCTCAAGGGGGCAAACAGTCTTGCATGGCCCTTAGAAGAGCTCAACTAAGCCTCCCCCCGTTACACTGCCACCCCTCCACTCTTGCTGGGAGGGGGGCTGAAGCATCTCTGCCAGCACCCCCAGGGCAGCCCAGCTGTCCTGCCCCTGCCAGGAGGGGACTCACGGGGGCGAAGTGCTGGGGGCCGCAGCGCTCCCCCTGAAAGCGGCACTCCACCAGCATGTCCTCGATCTGGTGTCCCAGGCGGTGGAAGAAGCTCTGCATGGTGCGCTCGGAGCGGCGGGGCGGCAGGAAGCGCGAGTAGTTGGCAAGGCGCGTCAGCCAGGCGCGCTGGTCCTCCCCCAGCACGGCCAGCATCTCGGGCACCAGCGAGCGGTTCTCCTGGGCCAGCCCCAGCCACTGCCCCACCGAGTAGAGGTCGGGCTTGGTGAGGCGCAGGAAGCGTGCCCGGTTGGGGTTGCAGAGGGTGACGGCCGGGAAGCGGAGCTGGGGGGCGCGGGCGAGGCGTGCCCGGGTGTGCACGGGGTGCGACAGCAAGTGGTGCAGGCGGTCGGCGGTGCCGGTGGCCAGTAGCCCGGCGGAGGCCAGGAAGGCCAGGCTCCAGAGCAGGCGGCGCAGGCGGGACTGCGGCCGGGTGCACATGTAGTGCAGCCCGGGGATCCTGGTGGCTCGCAGGACGCCGATGGCGAGCTGGGCTGCACCTTCATCCTGAGCTGCTGCCAGGGCTTCCTCGTCCCGGCAGCAAGCAAGGGGCAACGGCATGGCTGCAGGCAGGGTGGCTCCTCTGGAAAGTGGGGTGCAGGCTGTCCTCGAGGTTGCCCAGGGTCTCTGGTCCCCTCCAGGGAGCTCTCCCTCCCGGGAGGCTTTTGCTCCGCACCTTCCTGGAGACAAACGTGGCAGGCGCCTTCCTGAGCTGCTCCAGTGACGGGCGAGGGGAGGAAGAGGAGGGGGCTGATGCAAACACACGCCTTCCCCCAACCTCCATTCGGGAATGGAAAATTCCTCCCGGAGCTGGGCTGGGACAGGGGGGTGTGCTGCGTTACCCCAGGCAGGGTGACCTGGCATCACCCAGTGCCCCAGCATGGTGGCTACCTGTGTCTGGATGGTGATGTCCTGTCCCAGCCAGGCTGCATGAGTCCTGTGCTGAGGGATGCTGTGCCCCGGCTTGTCCCCATTGTCCCCTGCCCAGGCACCGCAGCCACTTCAGATCCCTGCCTGGATGTCCAGGGTCCCCAACCATGGCTGCTCTGGGGCTAGGGGCCCTGCCCCATAGAGGCAGGACAGTGCCAGGCCTGGGAAGCAATCACCTCCTACCAACACTGCTCGGGACCACATGTGTACCCTGGTCTTCAGTGCTGTACCCTGGTATCCCCCACCCTGGAGCTGGGGACCCCAGTAGATCTGGGCCCTGTGGGGCCATGGGGCAGGAGGAGTAGAGCTGCGGGGCGAGAGGCTGCGTGGGAGCCCACCTGAGCCCGGCGGGCACTTTGAAGTGACGGCGAGGCTGTGATCAGAGCGCGGCGGCGGCGCGGGGGGGTGTCTCTGCACCAGGCTGTCAGCATGGCTGGCAGGGCCCCGACAGCCTGTCAGGGTGCCTTCAAAGCTCAGCACCGCGCTCCCGAGCTGCCTGCTTCTCATCTCCTGCTGCTGCCGCTCCGAGGCACCCGCCTTCGGCACCGGGGTCCTGCAACCTCCACAGCCCTGGGACAAACCAGGGTGTCCCCCACGAAGGGCAGCATCCCTACTGCTCCACGGCAGCTGGACAGGAGGAGACTGCGGTGAAAGGGGGGACTGGAAAGGGGGGAGCTGCAGGGGCTCCCAGCACCATCCACGCTGCCGGCCTCGCTGCCTGAGCGAGGTGTGACTCTGCAGCCATCCCAGCCATGACCCAAGCTGGCAGCTTGGTGACAGGCGCAGGAGGACGCCAGGCAGGTCAGGAATGGGGTTTGGGAATGGGACGGGGCACCGAGGGAGGCGAGCAGAGGCAGCGGGCAGCATCTCTGGTACCCGGGGCACTTCCACCCCACCTCCACCCCACACCCTGCCCCGCAGCAGGGAGAAGCCCAGCCCAAAAGGCACCCAGGGTGCCAGCTCCGGGCCTTGCTGGCTCTGGCCGGGGACAAACCCCAGCACCCCGGCTCTCGGCACCCCCGTACCCCGGCTGCCGGCAGCCGCAGGCAGGGGGCAGCAGGGACCCGCGTTTGGGCTGCGGAGGGTGCGCAGCGCCGGGGACATTGCCACCGTCCCTCCCCAGCACCCCTTCTCCCTGCCCAGCCCCTGTGTCTCCGGGGGATGGCCGGTCCCCATCCCGCCCCCACGGGATGCCTGCGCCGCTGCTTGCTTTGTCCCAGGAGAAAATCCTCTTTATGGGTCACAGTGCCTCCCCCGGGGCAGAGCGCATCTCTCTGGGGACACAAAGCCCTCGCCAGCCCACGCCCCAGAGCTGTCACCGCTCCTGGACCTGTCCCCGCCACAGCACAACGAGCAGTGAGCAGCAGCACTGCCGTGGGCTCCCCACTCCTTGCACCCTGCACCCTCGGGACCAGCCCAGTGGGGTCACCCCATCCCACACTGAGTTGTCCCCCTCCAGCCTGGGTGTCCCTGCACCACCCCTGGGACACGGCTCAGCACCCCGCATGCTGGCATGTCTGTGTGGGGCTGCTGGAGGTGGCTCAGCTCCTTGCTGAGATTTATTGAGGCTCTGAGAGCCGGAGGCTGCCAGCCTGATACCATCAGCCCCTTGCACACCAGAGCAGCTTTTATATTAGTTTTCTTTAAGCGGCGGATGAGCTTCCCGGGCTGGAGGAAATGTCATTTCTCCGAACGCTTCCATCTCATGTTGGTTCAGACATCTCCAGGCAGCATCGCAATCACCCTGGAGCAGGGTGAGGGACAGGGATGGGATGCAGAGGCTGGGGCACTTGGGGACAGACAGCTTGGGGACAGGGACTAGCATAGGGCAGGGCTGGAGGAGAAGGACCAGTGGTGGCAGTGGCCTTGTCCCCTGTCGCCTGCAGCCCCAGGTGGGCGGTCACGGCTGCAGGGGCATGTAGGGAGGGCAGGGTGCCCGTGGCACCCAGCTGAGCTACTCACTTGTCGGCTGCCGGGGTGCCGAGGCCAGCTGTGAAATCGCGCTGGCGAGAGCACAGCACAGTCCTGAAGGGCTTTGCCTTTCCAGCATGACAAACCCAATTAGATAACAGGGAGTGCGTGAGGAGGAGGAGGAGGAAGGGCAGAGGAGAGCCTGCCTGCACTGGGAACATGATTTCCTCCCCACAGCTGACCCAGAAAAGCGCCTTGAAGGGCTGGAGCACACGTGTCTAGCTGGGGATGGTGCCTGGGGCATGGGCCCTCAGGCACCCTGCTCCGCTTTTCGGGCACCCATGGGCGCTGTAGCCTCGGGGCTGGGGTGGGAGGATTCCCGCATTGCGTGACAGTCTCCTCGCTCAGCCGCCGCATGCCGGCATCCCCGCGCCACGCTCACGTGCAGGGGAGACCCCATTAGGGAGGTAATTTCTCGACATGATTCCTCATTTCCCTGCTCTCTGCCGTGGAGACACACTGACCTTGACAGAAATAGCTGCTCGCGCTGTGACAGGAGGATCCCAGCCAGAGATCAATGGGGTCCTGGCATCCTCCTCCCCACCCTACACAGTTCTGGGTACCCCCCCTACGTCTCCTCCACCCCCTGGAGCTTGTCATCCTGCCCTCCTGACGCAGGGCACCCCATGAGAACAGGGTGCTGGTCCCCAGCATCCTCACCCCAGTTCACCCCAGCCCACCCACGAGCAATGGGGGTGCAAGAACCAGCCCCACACACCCCCCGCCCCCTCATCCCCGCCGCTGCCAGCCCATTGTGCCAGCCTCCGGCTGATCCCAGCTCACACAGGTATTTCCGCGGCTTACACAGCTCCCCACGGTATTTAGCCTCTGGAAGACGACATTAAACATTGCAAGCAGCGACAAATCCTGATTGCTCCGAGGAGACAAGAGGCCGCGCTAAGCTCCCAGCCAAACATTTTCAAACGAGCTGCGGCATGTGCGGGGCTGGCGGGTACTGCTCCTGCTCCTGCTCGCCCGGGGCACCCAGCCCTGCTCCCATGTCCCTGCTGGGACACCCAGCCCTGCTCCCACATTCCTGCTAGGACACTCAGTCCTGCTCCCACATCCCCGCTGGGACACCCAGCCCCGCTCCCACATCCCTGCTGGGACACGCAGGTGGCAGGCAGGCCCTGGGCAGGGGCACACCATGCAGGACATGGACACCATGCACACCAACCACCCCAGCATAGAGACACCCCATGAGAACAGTCATCACGGGGCCATAATTGGGATGGGAACGGGGATGGGAAGACCCGGAGTGCTGCCCACCTTGGGCTTGGCAGGGATGCCAGTCCAGGGGTACCCTCCAGGTACCTCAGCCCAGAGAGCAAATTATCATGGCCAGGGACGCAGTATAAAGGAAAGCAGCCTCCAAAATTGGAAATGCTGCTTCCTGAGTGAGCGCAGGCAGCTGGAGGCACAGGGATGCCCCTGGCCAGGAGACACAGCACAGGAACCAGGGCCCAACTGGGACGGCACTGGCAGAGCTGGGGCAATGGCACACCCAAGCATGCTCCTGCCCTCTGCTGTGGCCATTCCAGCCCCGGAGCCCACCTCTGCCGGAGCCCCTCACCATGTCCCTGGTCCCCCCGTGGCAGCCCCCCGCTGCATCCCCAGCAGCCTGCTCCCCCCAGTGCAGCACGGCCGGGCCCCGCCTGGGTGCCCCGGGAGGGAAGCCGCAGCGCTGACGCCAGCATTGCAACTGCCCGGGATATGAGATCCGCTTGGATTCAGCAATTTCAACTCATTTCAAGCCCGATTCTGCAGCAATTTTCTGAGCCAGTGGGATGTTTTCGCCTCTGCAA